AGTAGAAAAAAAGAGCCAGAGGCAGAGTGAGCCAGGATTAGAAGTGCTAGTGAGTACCCATGACAGGTTCCCTATTGGGAGGAGGGCTCGGATACTCTTTCCAGGACACAAATTCTTGCTGGAAGAAAATGTGAAGGCTCTTTGCTATGTTTTTTTTAGTTCTGGATCTTCTCCCTTGATGGATCTGAGAAGGTGATCATGGATAGCTTTGACTTCTAGTTAGTACTTTATACAGTCAAGGACAAAGCTCTTTGGGCTCACTAGAATGCATTTTCATTCCATCCAATGTCCTAGAAGTAGCCAGACAGTTGGCAGTTCTGTGTGTCTGACATGGTGTCATTGATGTATAAAATATTTCATAATGACAGTAGAAAAATATGGAAAGAGGGCCATATTGGCAAAAGGTGGGGAAGCCCTGCTCCAGTACAATCTAGTGCTACATTTGGTGCTGGACTCCCTGTCCATCTGAGTGTCAGTATCTGAACACAACTCGGGAAGGAAGCACTGTCAGGGTTTGGCTGCATAGTTGAGGGTTTGGGGTCTTCATACGATTGGGCCTGTGTTGGCTTGGGCAGTGCTGCTGTAAATTCGGGCTTTGCTATGGATGTGGCAATGCTTTCTGTCCCATTCTGTCTTTTCTGTTACTTGGACCAGGCAGAGGACCAGTCCCCAGACTCAGGGGAGCTCCCTGGCCGGAAGATGGGAGTCTCCATGGTGACAGCTGATCTTGGACTGGTCAGTATGATTCGTCAGGGCATCTTGGCGCTGCAGTTGCTCCCCTCAAACTCTAGTGCAGGTCAGTAGAAGGAATGTTGGTGGGGTTGGGGACATAGAATTCAGGAAGGATTTGGGGGGAGCATTTTCAGCAAAGCTAGTTTCCAGGGAATCAGTGGGCCCCAGAGGAGAGGGTCTGTTTCCTTGTTTGTAAGAGTTAAGTGTGTGTTAGTGGATATCTCAGTACCCACAGCTCTGACAACCATCAGGGATCCTGTGGGAAGGAGTAGCACTCCAAGGACATCATTCAGGAAGAGACTGGGATCCAGCACTCACGAGAAAAAAGCAGGAGGGAAGGGGAAAGGAAAGGTGTTTGAATCTTACAAAACACATTTGTTGGCAGACACCAAGGTCTTCAGGGCTCCATCAGTGGAGTGCCTGGTTTTGACGGGTCAGTGTCCCTGGGTCTGAGTCTGATGTTTCCTGCTCCAGGTATCATTGTGATCACAGACGGGGTGACCAGCGTCCCTGATGTTGCTGTCTGTGAGACCTTGCTGAACCAGCTTCGCAGTGGCACTGTGGCGTGTTCCTTTGTACAGGTGAGGACTTTCTAGGATGAAGGAGGGGGAAGTATGGCATCTCACAAAGTGGGATGTGATTAGTTATTTTCTTTGCAGGCGATGATTTCCCCAGGTAAAGCCAATAGCATAATTACATGTGTGTGGTGGGAAGAGGTGCCATGTCTAGAAAGAAGTAGGTGGCAGTGGTGGGAGAGGACTCTTGTCTTTGTCCTCTTTCCTTAGGATGTGGGAAACAGCATGTTATAGTGAAAAGAACGCAGAATTTGAACTCTGGCAGTCAGCACCAGCCTCTTTAGATTAGTTACTACTGTTTTGTTTGTCAGGGTCAGAAAGCCCAGCTCTAACTAGCTTAGGAGGAAAGTGGTATATTCAGGGAACTGCAGTCGATTTGGATTGATGAACTGTGGGGCAGGGGCAAAGAGCTATGGGAAACAAGGCTGGAGGCCAGAGCATGAAAAGCTGGTTCTGCTATATTGAGTTTCAGCAAAATTCTGTGGGTGACACAGATAAATAGAAGGAAAGTCACTAGTTGGGTTTATGTTTTATTAAGGTCACTCTTGATGCTGGGTAAAGGGCAGGGATGGAGGAAAGACCACTATTAATTGCAATGGTCAGGTGAGAGGATTAGGGCTTAAGTTAGGGGAATTAGGGTAAGAGAGAAGAGGATAGGATTGAGAAAATGAAAAGGTAGAATCAACATGACATGATTAGCAAGTGGTAAGGGGTGAGGGAGAAAGAAGTTAAGGATATCTTCAATGTACTGACTTCAGTGATGACTGGGTAGCTGGCAGAGCAAACAAAGAGAAGCAGTTGGGGTGTAGTGAGGACAAGATGATGATGAATCCAGGTTTGAGCATGCTGCATTTGATGGGTCAACAGGATGGCCTTTGGAGTTAGGCATGCCTGGCCTGAATCCTGGCTCCACTTACTAGCCTTGTGACCCTGGGCACATCACTTCTTGGTTGTATTTATTTGTAAATAGAGATTATAATAGTACCTTCCTCATTGGATGAGAGGATGCATTTAAAATGCTTAATGTAAAAAAAAAAATAATAGAGTGCTTAATGTAGAACATAACCTATGTATATCAAAGCCAAGTGACTGTCCGACCAGTAGCTATGAAGCGCAATGACCACCAGGGGGCAGGCGCTCCGGCTGGTAGCTATGATGCACACTGACCATCAGAGAGCAGACACTCAATGCAGGAGCTGCCAAGCTGTGGTGACTTGGCAGCTGTGGTTCTCGGGTGACACACCTAGAACCAGAGAGGAGAAAGTCTGATTCCAGGGTGCGCAATCCGGGACTCCTCGGGGGATGTTGGAGAGCCAGTTTCGCCCAATCCCCACAGGCCAGGCCGAGGGACCCCACCAGTGCATGAATCCATGCATCAGGCCTCTAGTTACTTAAATAATGGCTGCTATTCATAGCAGTTAGCAGTTGGATATGTATATCTGATACTCAGGAGACTGCACTAGTAGAGAGAGAGAGGGTGAAGAACCTGGGGAAACACTAATGTTTAAAGGTCTTTCATAGGTAGAGGGCTGAGCATACAATGAAGGCAAATAATCAGGTGAGAACCAGGAGATTCTGATGTCAGAGAATTTAGAGTTTGAGGAAGAAGAGAGTAGTTAACAATGTGAGATGCAGCAGAAAGATTATGTAAAATGAGGAATGAAAAGTGCCTTTGGATTTGGTGATTAGGAGGTCATGGGGATCTTTTTCAGGCCATTTCAGTGAAGAGATGTTGAGGGAAATGATTGCAGTGGGTTGAAGAGTGGATAGACTAGAAGGAAGTAGAGACAAGTGTTGACACAAAGAATTTGGCTATTCGGATCAAGTGGAGAGTGAGACAATAGCCAGAGGGAAGTACAGGGTGGAAGGAGAGGGGTGTTTTACTGTTTTGTTTTGTTTGCTTTTTAAGCTAGAGGCTTAAGCATGTCCTAAGGATCCATGGTGAAACAGCTTGAAACTAAAGGAAAGAAAAGGAAGCCTGATAGAGTAAAGACCCTAAATTGACAGGAGGGCAATTGACTTAAGAAACATTTGAGGAGCGGGAGAAGGTCAAGTCTTTCTTTGAAAGCGGAAGGATAGAAGTGAAGACGTAGATAAATTCTACCAAGGGCCTGTGATTGATTGTAGAAGGTGAAGATGAATACTGTAAGGGAAAGGAGGCCAGGGTGGGAGGAAGGAACAATATTGAGGACAGCATTGAAGGACTAGCTGGGTTGGGTGTCATGTTTTGAGGTGGTATCAACCAACACAACTATGTGTTTTTCTCCATTTGGGATCCATTGGCATCCAATTTAGGGCTAGATCCTACTTGGGTTTTTGAGGTAGAAGCAGAAAAAAAAGTGCAGAGGGCCAAGGAATTGAAAATTATGCTGATGAAGTTGCTTGAACATAGGGACCCGACTGGGTTGAGAAAGGAGGATGAGGAGGCTGGTGATACACTTGGAGAGAGCAGAGGTTCAAGGCCTGGCAGTCTTAATAAAGTCAAAGAGCAGCAGGAGAAGGAGGATGGAAGATAAAGGGATAAGGTTGTGCCCTGCCGGCTCAGTGGATGAGTGTCGACCTATGAACCAGAAGGTCACGATTCGATTCCCAGTTAGGTCACATGCTGGGTTGCAGGCTCGATCCCCAGTGTGGGGCGTGCAGGAGACAGCCAGTCCGTGATTCTCTTTCATCATTGATGTCTCTGTCTCCCTCTCCCTTCCTCTCTGAAATCAATAAAAATATTTTTTAAAACAAAGTGTGGTCTAGCAGCATTGGCTAGCTAGTAGCATTGGCATCACCAGGGAGCTTGTTAGAAATGCAGAATCTCAGGCCCCACCCCAGACCTACTGCATTTCAAGAAAATCCTCAGGTATTTTGTATGCACCCTAAAGTTTGAGGAGCACTTTGTTAGAGAGAGATTGAAGTCTCTCAGGATGGTGGCAGAAGCCAGTGAACCAGTTGCCAAAATCTTTAATGAATGGGGGCAGGCTGGTATTTGATTGAGGAAGAAGGGTATGGCCTAATGGCACAGGCTTCAGGCAGAAGGGCTCAGGGAAGGAAAGTAACAGCCGTCTGTCCTGGGAGAACACTGGCCCACTCTTCACACCGTGGTCCAGGGGATGGGAGCAGCCACCAACCCATTCTCTTCCGCTCTTATACTTCATTCTCTGGTGCCTCTTTTTGAGCGAGGTCTCCAATTGCTTACTTTCTCCAGGTGGGAGGAGTTTACTCCTATGACTGCAGTTTTGGCCACGTGCCCAATGTGGAATTGATGAAGTTCATTGCAATGGCAACATTTGGCTCTTACCTGTCCACTTGTCCGGAGCCTGAGCCAGGCAACCTGGGTCTGACTGTCTACCACCGGGCATTTCTCCTCTACTCCTTCCTGCGCAGTGGGGAAGCCCTGAACCCTGAATATTATTGCGGTGAGAGGCCGACTGGGGCAGGTGCGGGAATGGGGAAGTGTAAGATGGGCTGAGATGATACGGGAATCTATCTAGGGTGTGGGTTTCTGGGGGACTGAAACTATAACTGGGGCTAACTACTCTGGTACTGTTCTCTCCCCATGATTTCAGCATAGCCCCTCTCCCATATCTCTCTTCACTAACCGGTAACCACTGTACCCTTCTCCATCCTCACTAGGCTCTCAGCACCGACTGTTTAATGAGCACCTGGTCTCTGCCAGCAGCAACCCTGCCTTGGCCCTTCGACGGAAGAAGCACACTGAGAAGGAGGTGCTAGCCGACCTGGTCAGCACCGTGTCTGTACGGCTTCGAGAGGGCTACAGTGTCCGAGAGGTCACACTAGCCAAAGGTAAGTGTTCCTAGGCCCTGCTGTATCCCACAGTCTCTCAGACTTTGAGTGTGAGAAGACCTGCCGAACAAAACAGAGGACACATGGATCACACACGGAAGTGTCATATGAAAGATTCTGCTTGTCATTTGAGACAAATGGGTTCAGAACTGCCTTCAGGGCTTGGTTCTCTTAACATTTATCTGCCCAGCTCCATCTCCTTTTGCCCCAGGCGAGTCACCTGAGAGTGGTGTGATATCCTGAACTTGGCTTTGTTTCAGATTACTGCAAAATTTTGTTTGTGTCAGTTGGCAGGCTGTGGGGCCTGAAATTAGGGAACCATGCTTGGAACCTTTGGCCAGGCTAGAGTTCCATGAGGTAGGTGGGAGTTTCAGATAGGAATCAGTCCCAGGCCCGGAGTCCTGTGCCTGCTTCTCCTAACTAGCCCTCCTGCTTCCCCTGCAGGAGGGTCCCAGCTGGAGGTGAAGCTGGTGCTCCTGTGGAAACACAACATGCGCATTGAGTATGTGGCTGTGGCGCCCTGGCCCCTGGAGCCTGAGGGCCCTCGAGGAACACGGGTGGAAGTCACAATGGAAGGTGGCTATGACATTTTACATGATGTGTCCTGTGCGCTGAGGCAACCCATTCGCTCACTGTATCGCACCCACGTTATTCGGCGGTTCTGGAACACGCTGCAGAGGTGAGTGAGGTCATTGCACCCTAAGTGATGCAATTTGTTGTGTGGAGGGGCAGATGTGTGAACTTGAGGGGTGAAGAGAGATACCCTGAGCACCAGGCTTGTGTCCAGGGTCCCCTGTCCCTAGGGGCTCCCCTCTGTACCCACCAGAGTCAGTTGTGGCTCAGGATTGGCCCTTGACCTGCAGCATTAACCAGACGGACCAGATGCTGGCCCACCTCCAGTCCTTCTCTTCAGTCCCAGAACACTTCACGCTTCCGGACAGCACCAAGAGCGGAGTGCCACTCTTCTACATCCCTCCTGGCTCCACCACCCCGGTGAGTGCCTCTGATCTCATTACCCTCATTTTGTGCCCACCCTCTCAAGTCCGAGGCACCCAAACCAGAACCTCTTAAGCTTGAGAGCAATTCTCCTTCCTCCTTCCAAGGCCCTGGGGAAGGAGGAGGATCTGTAGAGAGAGACTGGCTGTGTAGGTGGTGGTATCCCAGGACTGCGAGCCCTCTTGCCCCACCTCCATCTGGCATACTCTGGCCTCCCCCTCCCCCTTGCCCCACCTCCATCTGGCTCTATCTGGCATACTCTGGCCTCCCCCTGCCACCCATTTTTCACCATTAACAACTACTGTGAACTGTGCACTTCCTGAAGACCATAGTCTCTTTGTCCTGTGCTTTCCTCACACTCAGTCCCCGGGTGTCAGCCTGACATGGCTAGGCCAGGGGCCTTATGCTAGTGAGCAATTGCTTCATCTCAGGTCCTGCCAACACTCAGTGGCTTTGCTCCAGAGTCAGTGAGAGAAGCGTGGCAGGACTCATCTTTTGCCTGGAATTAGCTTTAAAAGGCTACGTAGTCTGAACCTGGGCTCATTCATCCTAATCTAGCCTTCACATTGGAGGCAGTTTTTACATCCAGCCCAGGCTGGGTTATGAGTCCCTTTAGCCTTAAACCACTGCTGTCTCTGACCCTGTGAACTCCATGGTTCTGTGCACTGTGTGGTGGCTGTACCCTGGTTTTCTATGAATACTCATATAGGGCTTTCCTTCCCCCCGCCCCTCCCCCCCAGGTGCTCTCCCTTCAACACAGTGGGTCCGACTCATCCCATGCCCAGTTTGCTGCCTACTGGAAGCCAGTGCTGTCCATGGATGCAAATTCATGGCAGCGTTGGCTGCACATGCATCGCCTAGTGCTAATCCTGGAGCATGACACGTGAGTATCCCCTTAGGACCGTAGTTGGGATGGAGGAGCAGGGGTGAGGGAATAGCGAAGATGGGGAAGGGGAGCAGCAGCTGAGCCCTTACCAACTGTGGCCAAGAAAAACTATGGCCTTTCTTCCTGCTCATTAGCCCCATATACTCAAATAGGCCCTAGAAGAGAGAGGTAGTAATCTGTTCGGATTGGAGCTGGGGGGGTCTGACCTCAATGCTAACCCCTCTTCCCAGACCAATCCCCAAGCACTTGCACACCCCGGGCAGCAACGGCCGCTACAGCACTGTCCAGTGCAGGATCTCACACTCGTCGCTGACTTCTCTGCTTCGGGACTGGAGCAGCTTCGTGCTAGTTGAGGGCTATTCCTATGTGAAGCTGCTCTCCAGGTGGGCAAAGTGATGTTCCTTCACTCCTCCCCCGCCATCTCAACTCATGTCTCTTCCTCTAACCCCAGACTGCATCCCTACTTCCTCCTAAACTCATTTACAGCCAACCTAGGGCTGCCCACTGACTCCCATTTCTCCTCAGTGCCCCAGACCAGCCCCCCTCCTCCTTCTACATGGTCCGCATCATTTCCAAGGCCCCGTGCATGGTTCTTCGCCTGGGTTTTCCCATCGGCACACCAGCACAGGCCCGGCACAAGGTGAGCTGGCCCCAAGGAGTCTGGAGTGTAGACTGGCTCCTTCTCCCCAAACCCACAGGGCCAGGGCATAGTGAGAGGAACCCCCAGATTAAGTAAGGTTCTCTCACCTTGTCTGTGGGCCCCTTCTACCAGATTTGTAGGATTTGGGAGTAGGAGAATCTAATTGCATTTTTTCCTCAGATTGTGTCAGGCTTGCGGGAAGAGATCCTACGGCTACGTTTCCCCCACCGAGTGCAAAGTAAGGAACCAACACCCAAGGTGAAACGAAAAGGGCTGGGGGGCATAGGTGGGGGCAACTCTCCCTCCAAGTCTCCCCCCTTGCTGGGGCCACAGCAGGCCCTCTCTGACCGGCCCTGCCTTGTGGTCCTGCATAAGCCACTGGACAAACTACTTATCAGGTTGGTACCGAAGGTGGGGTTGGGGCCTGGAGTACATGGGAAGGCTGTGGCTTAGCTGGGTATATGCAGCAATCGACTGAGAGTCGCCCCTTCTTCCCAGGTATGAGAAGCTGCCCCTGGACTACCGGGCACCCTTCTTGCTGACACTGGAGCCACCAGGCCCACTGCCCTTGGTGTCAGGCCGCTCAGCCTCTTCTAGCCTAGCGTCGCTGTCCCGCTACCTCTACCATCAGCGCTGGCTCTGGAGCGTCCCGTCAGGACTGGCCCCCGCACTGCCGCTCAGCGCCATTGCCCAGCTCCTCTCCATCCTCACTGAGTATGTCACCTGAACCTGCCAAACAACTGGGGGCAAGGGAGAGAGCCAGTGTAGACTCTGGGTCAGGACACTGGCAGAAAGTCTCTGCCAAACACTGCCTGTCTCTAAGCCTCAATCTCTTTGCTGCTGCTGTTATGCAGAGCATCCAGCACAGAGCAGGGCTTGCCACTGCCCTCCATCCGCCTCCTTCCACTGTTCTTATTTAGGCCTCTGGTCCTAATTGGACTTGTTACATTAGAAGGACCACTAGTGTTAGCAAGGCCACCAGCACTGAAGTCTACCTAAATGGCTGCTAGAAAGTGGGTACATAAGTGGCATGGGGTTGGGATGTATACTCTGACTGTGTCCCCTATCTCATCCTGTCCTGCCCCCACCTTTATGGGGCTTCAGAGTCCGACTCTCTGAAGGGTTCCACTTCGCCTGCAGTGGGGAAGGAATCATCAACATGGTGCTGGAGCTTCCCATTCAGGTAGGTGCTGTCCCTCATCATACCTCCCACCAAGGCTTGTCACCATCCCAGGGGCCCTGACCTCTGAGCTGGGTTGGGACTGCTGGACCGGACCCGAGGCCAGTCCCAGGACAGTGTGGCAAGGGGACTAAAGTTCTGAAGGCCAGAGCTGGGTGGGGCCAGATCTCTGTCTGGGCTGGGGTTTGCCCAGGATCTCCCATCCTATCTACCCTCAGAACGAGCCTCCGGGGCAGGCTGCAGTGGAAGAGAGGCACACATGTGTGGTCCAGTACATCCTCTTCCCCCCACACTCCACCTCCACCAAGGACAGGTGAGACCTGGCCCCTCAGAGAGTTGCCTCTCTCCACATTCCTCCTCCTCCCTGCTGTCCCCTGAAGTTCTGCCTCCCATACCTGAGGGAGTTGGGGCAGAGGGTGCTGTTTTTAGATGCTTCGTCAGGCAGGCGCAGGTCTGGTAAGGCCACATGTGACTTGTGGCTGCCCTGTGTTTCCACCACCTTCCTGCCCTCCGTGGACTGACTCCAACCATGGGGTTGTGGATTGGACTCTCCTCAATCACAGGCTCAGGCCCCTTCCTCCTTTAGTTTCTCAACAGATGATGACAACGATGTGGAGGTGGAGGCCCTGGAGGGAGACTCGGAGCTCAATCTGGTCACCGAGGTGTGGGTGGAGCCTCAGTGTGGGCGAGTGGGACCCGGCCCTGATTGCTGGAAGCATCTCCAGGACTTGACATACTCTGAGATTCCGAGAGCTGTGAGTGACCTTAGCAATACCCCCACCCGTTATAGGTGGGGTGTCCTCCCTTTGGGAGTACCACAGCCATTGGGCTTTCTGATCCCTCTGAATCTGTGTGTTCTGAGGGTCTGACCATGTGGGCTTCCTTGGGAGCTGGAGGCCCAGGTGTCTGGGACCAGAGGGGCTACCCCTGACCTCTGCTGTTCCTCCCCTAGCTCCACCCTCGGGATGCTGCCTGCATAGGCTCAATGCTGAGCTTTGAATACCTGATACAGCTGTGCCAGAGCAAGGAATGGAGTCCCCTGCCCCCAGAGCCGAGGGTCTCTGATGGTCAGTAGGGAAGGGGCTCCTGAGGGGAGTGGGTAGGGCGAAGGCAGCACAGACAGAAAATCTGGTCTCAACGTGGGTCTTGTCTTCCTTCCCTCCCTCTTAGGATTGGACCAGCGAGGAGATGCCTGTATCCATGAAATAC